GCGAACATAGCATGTTCGCGTTCGCCACGGTGGACGAACATATGCACGGTTCGACCCGACCCCTATTCGTCATCATTGAGTAAACTTTGACCCTGTACCTCACAGTCAGCAGACACATTCCAGCCAATTAGCAGCACACCCTCCCTAGCAGACCCTCCCACCTCCTGGAAGGCATCCATTTTAGATTCATTCTCAAGCTGCATGCTTAGTAAGAGGAGGGAAAGTGTAGCTGCTGTTCATAAGATAGGGAAAAGCATAGCTAGGTTAGGGTTAGGGTATGCTTTTTTTAAATTTATTTTTTCTATGTAATGTAATTGCACTTAGTTGTCTGCCACTGCTGCCAGCTTCTGTGTCAGGCTCACAGTGCATACTGTGCCCATTTCCCCAGTCAGTGCCACCACTTACATCTGGTGTCACAATAGCTTGGATTTAAAAACAAAAAACTTTTTTCACTGTTATAGATTGAATAGCAGTCAGTTGTCTGCCACTGCTGCCAGCTTCTGTGTCATGCTCACAGTGCATACTGTGCCCATTTCCCCAGTCAGTGCCACCATTACATCTGGTGTCACAATAGCTTGGATTTAAAAACAAAAAACTTTTTTCACTGTTATAGATTGAATAGCAGTCAGTTGTCTGCCACTGCTGCCAGCTTCTGTGTCAGGCTCACAGTGCATACTGTGCCCATTTCCCCAGTCAGTGCCACCAATTACATCTGGTGTCACAATAGCTTGGATTTAAAAACAAAAAACTTTTTTCACTGTTATAGATTGAATAGCAGTCAGTGTCCTTAAAGCGGGTGTGTTACGCTTAACAGTGGATACGGTGACCAGTGCTACCACTAGATCTGGTGACACAAAGCTTGGATTTAAAAACAAAAAACCTTTTTCACTGTTATAGATTGAATAGCAGTTAGTTATCTTCAAGCAGGTATGTTACGCTAACAGTGGATACGGTGACCAGTGCCACCACTTAGATCTGGTGACACAAAGCTTGGATTTAAAAACAAAACACTTTTTTCTGTTATAGATTGAATAGCAGTCAGTGTCCTTAAAGCGGGTGTGTTACGCTAACAGTGGATACGGTGACCAGTGCCACCACTTAGATCTGGTGACACAAAGCGTGGGGTTGAAAACAAAA